GAAAATATACCCTAAATTTCAATCTCCCAACTTTCCTGGTTGCTGAGATGAAAGTGGGTGACAAAGTTCATTCGCTTCCGAACACAAACATACACACGCAGACGACATCTCGACAATATGCGTTTTTGCTAGCTGTAGCAGCGCTACAGCGCTGCACAGTAAAAGCGCATAGAAAAGGCGGGGGAGGGGGGAGGAGGGGGGAGAAATATGCCTCACTGCGCACGATTTTTTCTTCGAAAATTTTATGTGATCATATGTGAAGCCGGCATGAGAGTTCAATTTGAGGTCTAGGTGAAAAAAAAGCTAGGCAAAAAAAGCTGAAAAAAATCTCTTTGTTACAGTTCATCTTCATGAACCCCGCTTCACTCGGACTTTAATACGCTATCTGCGGGTGTAGCTTAGGGAAGAAAAGCGGACGAACCACTACTGAATTTATCATATTGCCGCGTTTTGAGTTCACACCGTCTTTTCCTGAGTCTTTTCGTGCTTTATATGCGTTTTTTGCTGTGTAACAGCAGTGCAAAACGCATATTGTCACAGGGTTGTCTGTGTGTCTGTGTGTGTATATGTCCCACATTTTGTCCCACACTTTCAACTCGGGAACCACAAGAGCTAGGCGGCTGAAGTTTTAGTGTAGTGTTCCTTGCCAACGTGTGATGCGACAAATTTAAGTTCAGCCTTCCGTACCCGCAGGTAACCGTACGGCCCCGTAAAAGTTTTGGCGGGCAAAATCATTATCTCGGGAACTACGGAAGCTAGGAAACTGGAATTTTATGGGTATGTCTTCTGACCACGTGCGACTCAGAAAACTCAAATTCAATCTTCCTGTACCCGCGGATAACATATACAATCCGATGAAACTTTTGTCTGGTAAATTATTATCTCGGGAACCACGGAAGTTAGGATGCTGAAATTTTGTGGGTATGCCGCTTGATCACGTGGAACCCAGAAAATTTAAATTCAGTTTTTCCGTGAGCTTGGGTATCGCGTACGGCTCCGTGAAAGTTTTGGCGGAAAATTATTTCGGGAACTGTGAAAGCTAGGAAGCTAAAATTTCAGGACAATATTTTCTACCGCTGCAGGTATCTTACGAATTCAAATTTATCGCCCAAGTATGCAGAGGTCTTACGTAAGGCCACGTAAGAATTTTGACGCGAAAGTCACTAGCTCGGAAGCCGAAAAAGTAGAAGGCTGAAATTTGGAAGGATGTTCTCTATCCATGTTTTCAAATCCAGCTTTCACGTACCGGCAGTGAAATTTTCAATGGGAAATTCCTCATCTTAGGAGCCAGACAGCATATCTGTTATTTTTCCAGTCATATTTCTAGTAAGCAAATGCCCGCTGGACGGGACTGCGCAAAACGCATGACCGCACCGGCTACCCTAGTGTGCTTAGTTATTCCATTTTCACTTAATATCTGATGACATCCCAAACTTGGAAAATCAATGCCACTGCGATGAAGACAGTGCAGTTATGTGCAGAAGTACCGACCAAGAGGCTTTTTTTCAAGCGTCCCGTGAGATTCGCCCAGTCCTGGCATGAGTCACACAAAAACTTTACACTAGCACCCGCTCCACAGAGCTCACCTTCGCACACACTAAGCATGGGGTGTCGCGCTGCAGCACACGCAATGAGTTTCGCTGGGAGCGCATACGCTTACGTGGCCTTGCTGTCGACTTCGGATAATGAGCGGGTGGCAGGGAGGGGTTTATCAATTTGCATCACCAGCAAGCCTCTTTCCGCGCTGGTGCGGCAGCTGTTGGTACTCGTTCTGCGCTTTCCGTTTCGCATCTAGCCTTTCCACGAAGTACGTCACTGAGCAGTGCTTGAGAACCATCGACACCAGAAGAGGTCTGGGGTCGAGGTTGGCGGCAGACCTCCAAAGGTCTGCAAGAGGCGGTGCAATTGTACTGAGCGACCCGCGGACGCCTTTTTTTGAGGCGGTTTTTTGCGTCAGCGCGGTATCCTGCAGCATCAAGATGTGTCGTGTCGTTGTCATCTGGTCATCACGGCGCTAGCGCATTGGGCAGAATGGGAAGAAAGGCGTCGCACAGCGGGAGGCAAGCAGCAGCGTCCGGTAAAGGGAAACAGTAACGCCGTGGGGCTCATCGACTCGAAAACTGCGCTGGCCGATTTTTCCACACAGGCGTATAGGGCATGACGTCCGACCGGCCTATAGCAGTGACGATCCTCGTCCGCCGCTCCCCTCGCCTTTCCGCTTGCCACGCCGATCGGCTTTCACCCGTTGTCTCGATCGTCTCCTTACTCACTGCTCATATCACCTTCTCACTTGCTACCCTTAGTAACTCTTTATCTACGTCTGGATATCAGCGCAAGCTATCTCTTCCCCAAGCAAGCACACAGTTACCCCAGACCCCTTGTGCGCTACCGTATGCTATGTACACGACATGTCTGTGTTTTAACGAGTGGGAGGAGTTGTGGGCGAGACCAAACCGGCACGCTCGGCAAAGCTGCGGTGTAATTCGCTTCGTCCCTCTGACTGTTGGCAACTACTTAAGCTCGGCTCGCCTCGGCTACCTCGGCTGCACCTCGGCCAGCCCCGGCAGCTGCACGAGTTGCCGATTTATGGGCAAACGTGTAGTGAGGAAGCAGGACGGGGGACAAGGGTG